ACGAAACGTGTGAGGGGTGCGCCGAAATGGAGGTGGAACCGCATGCGGACCCTGACACTGGGGCCTTCGGTGGAGCTCCCTATGGGGCCACGAAACGTGTGAGGGGTGCGCCGAAATGGAGGTGGAACCGCATGCGGACCCTGACACTTGGGCCTTCGGTGGAGCTCCCTATGGGGCCACGAAACGTGTGAGGGGTGCGCCGAAATGGAGGTGGAACCGCATGCGGACCCTGCCACTTGGGCCTTCGGTGGAGCTCCCTATGGGTCCACGAAACGTGTGGCCATGATGGAGACGGCGATGATGATGACGACGATGGTGATAAGAACGATGATGATGATGATGCTGATGATGACGGTGACGATGACGATGATGATGATGCTGATGATGAGAGGGAGGAGGGAGGAGGGGGAGGAGGAGGAGAGGAGAGGACGCGGGCACCGTCTCTTCAAAACGAGGACCCAACACCACAGGATGGTTGGGAAAAAGGGAAATGCCCAAATCCATCAAAAACCTTAGGAAAATCAGTGATTTTGGCATCTTTTGGCCTTCCTGGAGGCCCTCTTGGGAGCCTCTTGGGCCCTTTTGGGCCAGCTTCGAGCCAACTTCGGCCATCTTGGTGGGTTCCTGGCACGTCTGACGCCGTCGGGAGCCGTTTTGGGGGCCTTTCTGGGCCAACGGGGGACCCTCTTGGGGCGCTCCAGGGCCGTCTTGGAGGCCATCTTGGGCGTCTTGGAGGCCATCTTGGGCGTGTTGGAGGCCTCTTGGGCCGTCTTGGGGCCCTCTAGGGGCCATCTTGGAGGCCACTTGGGCCATCAGGGGGCTCTCTTGGGGGCCTCTTGGGCGATCTTGGGGGCTTCTTGGGCCGTCTTGAGCCGTCGGAGAGCCGAAAAGGCGCAAATGCCAAAATCCTTCAAAAACCAAAGGAAAATCAATGATTTTGGCCTCTTCGGACTCTCCTGGAGGACCTCTTGGAGGCCTCTTGGGCCGTCTGGGAGGCCTCTGGGGGGCCTCTTGGGCCGTCTTGGGCCGTCTTGGACTCTCTTGGGCCGTTTTGGAGGCCGTCTTGGACCATCTCGGGCGGACTTGGAGGCCATCTTGGGCCATCTTCGCGATTTTTTGAGGATGTCCCGAGCGAAACGGCCGTTTTTTGGAGGATTGTTTGCGGTCGTTGGGCACGTTTGGGGATTTTCCGGGTGGCCGGCGGGTTCTGCCGGAGCCCACTGGGGAGTTCTTTTGGAAAAAGAACCAAAACCAAAACCTGAAACGTCCAGCGCGCAGGGGGCGGCGGATCTAATGGCCTTCGGCTTATCCCGCCACCGTCCCTGGGTTGTGGGTATGAAGTCTATTGGATGTTCGTTGGGATCTTGTGGGAGGCCTCTCGAGGGCCTCTTGCAGGCAGTTTGGGGGCCTCTTGGGTGCGGTGTTGGGGTCTCTAGGGGACTCTTTTGGGCCTCTTGGGGGCCTCTCAGAGCCTCTTGGGGTCTCTTGGAGGCCTCTTGGGTCGGAAGGCTCGGGCTTCCGGGTCGTGTTTATGCTTTTGCGGCGCCTCCTGGGCCGTTTCGGGGCGCTCTTAGGCCGTCTTGGGGCCCTCTTGGAGGCCTCTTTGGCCGTTTTGGGATGGTCTTGGCGGCCTCCTGGGCCGCCCTGGAGCGCCGGAACGCCGAAACGGCGAGAACGCGCAAATCAGTCAAACACTTAGGAAAGTGAATGATTTGGGCCTCTCAGGTCCTTCTTGGGAGGCCTCATCGAGGCCTCTTGGGGCGTCTTGGTGGCCGTTGTGAGGCCATCTCGGGCGTCTTGGGTTGATCGTTGGGCATCTCGGGGCCCGCTTGGGCCGTCTTGGAGGCCTCTTGGGGCCGTCTTGGCCCGTCTTGGGCCCACCTTGGCCTTTGAAAGAAAGAGTCATGCTTCAACACTTCCCTGAGTCCAAGGGGCACGCCAGGAGCGCCGCCAAGTTTTGGAATTTGGGTCCGGGCCCCTCCAAGAACCCTCAGGACTGAGGAATGAGGTTCCAGGTATTAGGCAAAGGGCCTGAGGACACGCCCACTCCGTACCCAGAGGCACGGTGGCGGAGCTTTGCGTTTTCGAGACGCCATCCAGTCTCTGATTATCGTCGATAGGATTGCAGCGTCTCTTCACCGCTCGAAGCACATGGGTTATGTTACACATGCTGCCGAGTGTCGAGGCTATCTGGACCCATTGCGCCGTGGCGTCAAAAACACGCCGGCCAGGGATCTCCACCAAATATTGCAGGCTTGACGGTTGAAGGTTTCTTGAGGCGGGCGGTCATGAGACCAGCTTAGAGTCTTGCGTTTCCACGGGTGCATTTATCATGAAGTTCAGTGCGGTTGTAAGAGTATTGCGTTGAGGATCGATCGATGCTGTGTGCAACAGGAGGGCTGGGCTAAAATAGTTGACGTCTCGCGTATCCTCACCAGCGTGTGTCCGTGAGGATCGCACGTGCAGGTTATCCCTCCTGTCCCGACATGCACCTCCACCGGAGTGGACTGACGCCACAGCGCGTAACACAGAATTCCCTGGCATTTTGCCGCAGGGCTGCACGATGCCCGAGCTTTCCTGGGCGTGGCAGTTCAGCCAGCCAGCCCCCCGCCGCCGCTGCCCCAGCTGCTGCTTTTGTGAGCTGGCCCAGCCGGCTCGTGCTGCGCCCAGCAGCTAATTAGGTATGCCCGTCGGCCCGGACTCCCTGTTCGCCGCTTGCACTCTTCGCTCGCGGCCGCGACCAAAAAAAAAATATCCCCACCAGCTTGCAGTCCTTGCTGTGGCCGTCGCCGGACTTGCAGGCAGTGCTCCTTCCCTGGTGCCACTCCCTGCCCAGCCCCCGCTGCTCCCCGCCCTTGGGAACACGGGCAGTGGCCTGCTGACAATACTGGCTCGTGGACTGCCGCTGGGGCCGTGGTCCACCTGTCCCCCATCGGCCTCAGGCCTGATGTAGTTGTTTTCACTCTTGGCGCGTCCCTCCCCCGCGCCCCCGGGCGCCCTGCCGTGTCGGGGTGTCCCCCCCCTCGGCTGGGCTCCCGTTCTCCCAGCCAGTTCGGTGGTGTCGTCCCCCACCGCCCTGGTCTTCTGGCTCCTCTGCCCTCGTCGCGGTTTCTCCCCCCTCGGTGGGGCCCATGGTCGTCTGTGGTTCAGTCTAGAATTTCCGTGTTCCCGCCACGCCGCGATTGCAATTCTGGATTCAGTACCGGGTTCTCCCCGCGGTGTCGGAGTACGTCTGTCGCCACTACCGGTGTGCTGACTGCGGACACCTTTCGAGCGCTTTCTTCGACCTGGCGTTGCGTGGGTTGCGAGGCGCTGGCTGTCACTTAGTCGTTTGTACACGCCCACTTCCGATTGACCGTGTGTCCCTCACCTGGTGGGTACTCGTGTACTTCTGCACTGCGGCACACCATATCTCTGGTCTTCTGCGTGCAGGCGCATCTCTCAGCAGTTGTTTTGTGGTTGCCTCAGTTGCTTTGACCTCAGGCTCACCCTATCAGCCGTGGATGCGCTTTCTGAAGCTGCGACGGTTCGCTGGCGTTGTCAGAATCCCCCTCCTTGCTGGACGACGTCAACTACGCTTTCGGTCTGCTCATACCCGTTAGACTCCCTGGGCTGACTTTCTCGCACGGAGTTTGGATCCCACCACCATGCGGTTGTCGGTTGTCACGACCATGACTGGGAACGTACGGCGCGCCATTTTGGCCGCGTCCGCCTTGCTTCCTGGGTGACTGACCCCTCAGACTCCCTGGGTTGCAGCTTGCACGACCGCCTGGCCTCTCAGACGCCCTGGGTTGCTGCTTGCCCCGCCGCCTGGTCCGCGGCCCCCGCGCGCGCCCGGGATTTCGTCACGGCCGCAGCCCGACCGTGACTGCTCGCCGCCGGCGCTTCCGCCTGCGGCTGTATAAAAAAAAATCCCCACCAGCCCATCCAGAAACGATGCCCAGGGGAGTTGAGGTGATCAGGGGAGTCGGGGAGCATGCAGAATAACAAAGGGCGGGGGAAGCTGTCACGTACCCCAAGAGGGGGAGGATGGAGAAGGAATCCTCGTCGGAGGGCAGGGGGAGGAAGAAGAGGAGGAGGAGGAGGAGAATGAGGAGGAGGATGTGGAGTAGGGAGAGGACGAGGAGGACGAGAAGGAGGAGAAGGAGCAGAGGGAGGAGAAGGAGGAAAAGGAGGAGAAGGAGGAGGAGGAAGAGGGGGATGAGAAATTGAAGAGGACGGCGAACCGAAGAGCCAGAAGCATCTTAAATGCATTTCGAAGATCCTCTTGAGGCTTCTTGGGGGTCTCTTGGGAGCCTCTTGGAGGCCTCTTGGGCGCCTCTTGGGGCCGTCTGGGCGCCTCTTGGGGCGCTCTTGGGGCGCTCTTGGGGGCTGTAGGGGCGCTCTTGGGGCCATCTTGGAGGAGATCGATCAACGAAGGGGGGTTCCCTAATTAGCCTCCCCCCTCAGGAGCTCCAAACATCGCCTCTTGGGGCGCTCTTGGAGCGCTCTTGGGCGCTCTTGGGGCCGTCTTGGGGCTCTCTTGGGCCTCTTGTGGGGCCCTCTTGGGCCATCTTGGAGCCATCTTGAGGCCTTGGATGGCCATCGGAAGCGAAACGGGGAGAAAGCAACAAACATTGATTTTCTTAAGGTTTTGGGACGACGTTGGCCTCTTCGGGGCCTCCTTGGGGAGCTCTTTGGCCACTTGGAGCCGTCATGGGGCCGTCTTTGGGCCTCTTGGAACATCTTGGGAGCCATCTTAAGCGATCTGGCGCTATCTTGAGCCATCTTGGAGGTTATCTTGGGCTCGCTGAGGCGCTCTTGGAGCCATCTTGGGGCCAAAAGAGCCGTCCGACCGCTCGCGAAACCCTCCGTCCAGGTCCAGGGGAGGGGGTAGGGGGAGGGGTAAACCCCTCCCCAAGGGGGAAGAGGGAGGGGTGGAAGAGGATCTGTTCTAGACCACCTACGCCCAGAGGGCTGGTGGGAGTCTTGCACCCGAGACCCACCTCCCACCCACGCAGGCGGCCTCCACCCAGGCGCTGATGGCGGAGCAGATCGGCGCAGAGGCCACCTCGACGACGACGACGACGACGACGACGACGACGACGACGACGACGACGACGGCGACGCTCCTCCGCGGGGCGGCCATCGGATGCGGCCCGATCCTTCTCGGCTGACCCGTGCCGTCGGGCTTCCAGAGGCCAGGTGGATGCTGGCGGGGGTGTGGTTTGCGCCGACCGGAGGGGCAATCGCCGACGCTCTCGTGGCTCCGCCCCTCCGCGCCGAGCCGGAACCCTCCCGCCCCTGCCCTACCGCCCCTTTTTGTCGTGGCATCGCTCGGACGTGTGCATGCGTTCCTCGGCGGGGGCCATCGAGGAGCAACGTGGGTTAAGTCGGGCATGTCCCTGCACAGGGGGAATCTTCAAGATTAGTCGAAAAGTACTATGGGGACGATGTTGCGTGCTCTTTGGACGAGTTTTCAATAATTGGGTTGACTGCTTTTCTTCCAGATCCGCCTGTGGGAGGACGTGCCCGACCTAAAACTTGGGCCATCTTGCGAAAGAACGCACGCACGAAGCCGAAACATGCACGAGGAGTGGACGTCCAAGCTATGGCGAGTTGTTGCCCATCAGCAGCTCTTCCCGCGATCGGCTCCACTCCGCGCAGCGTTCCGAGGCGGGGCTGCGGCCCCGCCCGTGTTTGCTTAGCAGCAGCAGTGCCGGCGAGCATGTCGTGAAAACGGTCAGGAGTTCTGTCTCGGCGTACACCTCAGGCGACGCTTAAGAAAACGTAAGTTTTCGGCCAAAGTCTAGATTATTCTTAACTTTTCCATGTAAATCCCAAGATGTTGATAGAAGTTCTGGGTTTTTATTCAAATTCTGAGACTATGAATTTCTTAACCCATGATTTCTTAAGCATTTCGCAGGGTGTATCGTTCCGCCGGTTCTGACCCGCCAATCTTGGGCGCGATACGCCATCCATCTCCCAACTACCAAGCGCCAACGTCCCGTGTTTTTTCCAACATCCCGCCCCGCGGAACGGAGGGGCGCGCTATTCGCTTGCAAGGCATATCGTGTCGCCGGGGCTGCCGCCGCGAGACGCTAAGCGAACGTTCCTGACCGTATTCTGGTCGTTGGTGATGCAGGCCAGTCTGTATCCAGCCTTGCTAGCTGCACACGGTGAGAGAGACTGGAACCCGGAAGACGTTCGTTTGATTCACAGTGGGTGTGTCAAGCATGCGATCAAAACCCGTCGCAGGGGGGGGGGGGGGCAAGTTCTACTCTTCGCTTGGTGCATTCAACGTCGCCGCACGCATGGGCCACCGAGGGAACCGTGGTCAGTCAAGACGCTGAAGCAAGGACCTGTTTGGGTTGAGGAGGGGCTCTGGTTTTCGGGCCGTTCCTTTGATGCAGAGGGGGGAGCCGACGTGTGGTCGAGGCTCGCCGTGGCCAGGAAAAGCTTGGCTCCTCACCTGCTGACCTTCTTTGGTGGTAATCGCAGGATGACTGGACCCCCTACCCGCGCTGCAGTCAGGACGCTGAAATAGGCACCGCTTTGTGTTCAGAAGGGGCTCGCTGCTTCTTGGGACCTTCCGTGTTTGTTCCTCTAGCCCTCCACGTGCACCCAGGCGTTGTGGGCGCCAAAACGGAGTTTCGTGCCTTATGCCGTCTTCCTTCTGGCAGTACCTCGACTGTACTTTGTCCGCACTCTCTATCCACATTGGTTCCTGCACTGCCACACGCACCCCCTCGATCCCAGAGTCGGAACATGTACCACTACCGCTGCTCGCCCTCTCAGGCCCATAGCCGGGTTCGCCCCGAAGCCGCGGCAAGATTGCACACCGGGCGAGGATTGGCTTGCATGGTCAGCGGCGGCGGGGCCAGGCAGACTCGACGAGTTTTCGCAGTACAGTCAAGATGTCAGAAGAATAACCACTTCGGGCTCAGCAGGGGCTCTGGTTTTCGGGCCGTCCCGTGGATCCAGGTCGGGGAACGTGTTCGTGGCCGAGGCTTGCCGAGACCGTAAAAGCCCCTTCGTTCCTTATTCAGCGCTCCTTATGGTTAGCACGTTGGCTCTACGTGCGTGCTCTCGCCTGCCGGGCTTCTGTAGGCGGAACGTTCTACAGGCAGTCTTCGCTCTCTGGGGTTCTCGCCAGGATGACTGAGGAATTGGATGGGTGTGCTGGAGGCCCGGCTGGTGCTCGGTTGGTGAGCGCCCGTGGGCGCCTCGTGCGCGCCTCGTGGGCGCCTCGTGCGCGTGCGCTGTGAGAGTGTGTGTGTGTGTGTGTGTTTGTGTTTGTTTGTGCGTGTCGAGGTTTTGCCTGCGCCTGCGGGGGCCTCGTCTGCGCCTCGTGCGCTGGGTTTGTGTGCGGAGGTTTCGCCCGACGCCCACCGGCTGGCGCCTCGTAAGCGGGGTTGTCCGAGGTTTCGCCTGGTACCCGCCCGTGCGCGCTCGCAGGCGCCTCGTGGGCGCCTCGTGAGCTGCGTGTGTGTGCGTGTGCGTGTGCGTGTGCGGTTGCGTGTGTGTGTGTGTGTGTGTGGGTGGGTGGGTGTGTGTGTGTGTGTGCGTGTGCGTGTGCGTGTGCGTGTGTGTGTGTGTGTGTGTGTGCGCGTGTGTGTGTGAGTGTGTGTGTTTGCGTGTGCGCGTGTCTGTGTGTGTGCGTGTGTGTGTGTGTGTGCCGAGGTTTCGCATGGCCTGGTGCGCGCCCGTGGACGCCTCGCGGGTGCCTCCCAGGCTGGGTCGGTTCTGACGGTCTCGCCTGGCATGCGCCCGTGGGCGACTCGTGGGCGCCTCGTCTGCGGCTTGCCCGCCTAATTGCACCACATGACCTTTACCCGATTGCTTGCACCACATAGCTTGCACCACACGGCCTGCACTGCACAGCGTACGCCACGCAGCTTCCACACACAGCTTACACCGCACAGGTTGCGCCGCACAGCGCACGCAGCATAGATGATGCCACCTAGCTTGCACTGCACATGCTGCACGAGATAGTTAACACCTCATAGCTCACACCACATGGCTTTCACGGCGCAAGCCATGTTGTTTATGTTAAGAGGTGTAAAGTTCATCACGTAGGGTTCACCTAGCTTACACCACCTCTGTTTCACTAGCCTTTACCAGATAGCTTGCACCACATGGCTTACACATCCACAGTGTAGTAACATCCTGCTTGGGGTCCACGCTGGCAAACACATGGTTACAACTGCCTGGTGTCTTGTATAGACAGCGATGGCAAGGCATATTCGACGCCAGCGTAGTGCTCTCGCATCGTATCGGATCTCCCTCTGTGTTTCGTCGTCATCCTCCACCCCACCATCCCCTCCTATCCACCCGCCCGCCTTCTCCTCCCCGCCTCTCCTCCCACTCATCCTCCAGCTCTGTTCCTGGTCACCCTGCCCCTCCCCCCCTCGTCCTCGTCCTCCTCCTCCCCGATATCCTCCACACCGCCATCCTTCAGAGCGTGAATTACCTACCCCGCTTTCGCTTCCAGGCAAAACCAAGCTATACCACGCGCCTCCTCGTCAAGCGGCCTGACCGGTACAGCCCGTAGTTTGGCATCGCTTGGTATCTCTTGGAAGCGAGGATGGTCACAAGGGAGGTAGGTTTGTTTGCCCCCTAATCCTCCTCGCCCGTCATCCTCCACGCTGCCATCCTCCTCGCCTTCCCCCTCGACGCGGGGCTCACTTGGGCGCCGCGGCGCAGCTGCCGGCTGCCTGCTGCGGGCCGCCGCCCGCCCTCGCGTGCGCGCGGCCCCGCCGCGCGTGCGGCAGCCGGAGGCGCGAAGCCTGCGACCCCGCATACGATCTGCCACGTCGATGCGCAACAGGCATCCTCCTCCCCGCCATGCTCCTCGTCCTCCTCGCCACCCCGCCGTCCTCCTCGCCAGTCTCTTCTCCCCCTCCTCCTCCTCCTCCTCCTCCTCCTCCTCCTCCTCCTCCTCCGCCTACTCCTCTTCCTCACCAACCTCCTCGTCTTCGTTATCCTCCTCCTTGGCATCCCCCCTCCGCCGTTTTCCCCCCTCCGCGGCGTCGACCGACGCGAGCGGGCGAGACCTCAGCGGCCGCCCCGCCCCGGGCGCCCCGCAGGCCCTGGAGCACGAGGGCCTCCTCCGCGTGGTCGCCGGCGACGTCGGGGGCGCCGACGACCCGCACGCGTCGCTGCCGCCCGGGGGGCGTCGTCGTCGCGTCGTCGTCGTCGTCGGCGTCGGCGTCGGCGTCGTCGTCGTCTTCGTCGAGGGGGAGGGAAGAGAGAGGGGAGGAAAGGAGGAGGAGGAGGAGGAGGAGGAGACGGCAGGAAACAGCCAAGGCAGCAGGGAGGAGGCGGAGGAGGAGGAGGAGGAGGAGGAGGAGAAGTAGGAGGAGGGGGGGGGACTCCGTTTGGGGTGGGGGGTGGGGGGTAGGGGTGGGGGTTTGGGGGGGCGGCATGCCTTGCGCCCCCCCATGAGGAGGAGGAGGAGGAGGAGGAGGAGGAGGAGGAAGAGGAGGAGGAGGCGGAGGAGGAGGAGGAGCCTCCTCCTCCTTCCCCTCCGACTCCTCCTCTTCATGCTCCTGCCACTAATTAGTATTGGCGTTTGCAGGACGGCCTCTCGATCAATGAGGCGTTCACAGGGGAAGTTGTCACGGACGCCCCCATGATTCGTGATCTTCCACGCGGCTTGGTTGGGCCGTTGCGAAGATCCCCTCAGAGGAGGGTCATTCGCTACGCTTGGGGGGCGGTTCAGCAATGTATTGTCCTCGTTAAGATGGCGAGCGCGTCGTGGGCCCAAGTTACGGCCAGACATCACGTCTATACGGAACTCCACGTGCAGATTCGTGGCTCGCCTCGTGGACGTCCGATTGTCCAAATCCTGAAGGTTTGGGGCCGTACGAACCCTGACTATTTTTGGAATGGTGGCAAGCGGTCGGCAACAACTTGGCAGACCGCTACGCCAAGGAGGGGGCTCTCGCCTGAGCGAAGCCGTCGTGCTCGGCTGCCACTGCCCGGAAGGAGAAGTATTCGGTCCATGCGCTCAAGTTGTTCCCCAGGTTGGCGCCCACCCAGGCGTTAAGCGCCACCTTCAAGCGCTATTTGCGTCGGCCCGACGTCACCGCTGGCATTGACGTCGGAGGCCGCGTAATAGGGGGGCCAACAATTGAGGGGGGGGGCAGCGCGGGCTGCAGAGAGGGGCTCTCCAGGGCCCCTACAGGGGCCTTTTTGGGTCCGAAACGGGCACCTTACCCCCCCCCCCCCCATTGATCGCCCCATTAATCCGCACCCAATGGCGCCGCAAGGCAGGTCGTGCCCTTGCCTCCCGCACCTGCTCCCCATCCTGCCGCTTGCAGCCGCGGACGACGCGGCCCTAGCGGAGGGCCATGATTGGGAATGGAAGCGTTCGAGGTGGGCATGTCAACGTTGCCATCGATTGATTCAAGGTGATCGCAAGCCGTCGCTTACAACGTGCCCTTGCCTGTAGGGCAGCGCCCGCTTCAGCAACCTGGTTGTGGCCCCCCAGCAAAACACGATGCACATGTAATTTGTATCTGCAGTCGTTGTGGAGCTTATTTGGAAACAGGAATCTCAGGAGGCTCGGCAATGATGGCAGAATGAAGTTCGCGTCCAATGGAGCGCGGCATTTCTGGAACCGCTCTACTCGCGAGCAATACCCGGACTCAAAGGCTTGGCCCTGCGGTTTGCCTTGAAGAGTATTTTCCTGTCTCCATCCTTTCGGTCTCTGGTCGCTCTCAATGCAAATTCGTGCCTGCCGCTCCCATCAGTATCCCCCATTTTTAGGCCGCTTGATTATGAATCGCGTACCTTGCAGAGGTCTGTCGTGTCGCGCAGTTGGGGCACAGAGTTTGACACTTACCGTTCGTTGTCTTCTTGGCGCCGGACACCGCATTTGACACCTACTGTTCGTTGCTTCCGTGGCGCCGAAAAGTGCACCGTCACCTACCGTTCGTTACACCTTCTTATTTGCTTTGAGCTTTGCACACTGTCTAGCAACATGCACACGCCATCCTTTCATCATAGCATGCAATGAAAATCCATGCCAAGAAACACCCTGCTTGCCTGCAGGGTGCCCTGGATTTCTTGGCTTTCGATCGTCTTGCTATGGAAAGCGCGATTGGCCCATGCCAAGAAATCAATGGACACCCCAGTGTTCCAGGCTTGGGTTTCTTGTGGAAGGTTTCTCGTGGTCGCGCTCCTACTTGAGCATGATGTACCCCGCCATGCTCCATCTGAAATTGCCAAATCCCCCTTTCTGAAGGAGGGGGAGTTGCGCCCAAGTTCAAGGAGGGGGAGAGCGCGCCGGCCTACCCGCAGGCGAATGCACGTATGTCCTGGGAGATGCCAGCTCATCCTCGCAAGGATGGCCCGGCACCGAACTTTGTGGCGGTTTCGTTGATCCATCCCTCACCTTGCCAACTCCCCTCGGGGCAATTCTGTTTATCTCTGTCCCGGCCGCGTGGCCGTTGAGAGATCCGACCCACAACCACGGGCGAATCTACCGACAAGTCCCGACCTCGTGGAACATTGTAATGATGCGTGTTGGTTCTCAACTTTGAACCGCACTTTCTGCTACACCGACCTCGCCGCTTCTGTAGGATGCTGACTCGTGCTTCACGGCCGTACTTGACCAACTAATCCTCCGGGGTGCTTGTTATGCACCATGATCCAGCTGCACCAATCGCGCGCCACAAAGACCAGGGTGGAACAAACCCCCTGGTTTGCGAGCTCCTGCTGCGTGTTTTTTTGAAGTCTATGTTGCAGATCTGCTGTGTGGGTCATTTTGCGACCGACGTGGAACCTGTTTGGGACCCTCTGGAGGCCTTTCTGCGACTCCGGCAGGTTCCTAGTCCAGAGCGACCTCGTTCCGTGTGGTCTGTTTCACCATCGGGCCACCGTGCTTTTCAAGGTGGTGGCTTCAGGAAACTGGGCCCACCAACGGGGTCAAGGTGCCCCACAGCCATGCTACCTCAAGGCGAGTCCTTCTGCTCCTCCTCTCTACCTCCTTCCCCTCTCCTTTAGAGGGGGACGGGAGAGGGAGGCGGAAGGAAATGGGGAGGCGAGGGAAGGAGGGCACAGCAGGGCGGGAAGCAGGAGGAGGAGGAGGAAGACGACGGCGAGGACGCCGAGGAGGAAGAGGAAGAGGATAATGAGTATGAGCAGGGTGAGCAGGAGAGTGAGGAGCAGGTGCAGCAGCGCGAGAGGATGGCGGGGCGACCTGCCTCCGAGAGTCGTCGAGGGCCCGGGCAGGCTGGAGAGAAGAAACCAGAGCCTCTACGCTTTCGATGTCCACGCTTTGAAAAGTATGGATGCACCGTGGTGATCCTCTTTTTTGTCCCCTCCCCAGGGTGACGCTCACTACACGGGCCCCCCCCCCCTTCCCCCTCCGGAATAACGCTAACGATCGTACTTTGGGGGGGGGGCTGGACCCCCGCTACATGCTGTGGTGCACGCAGGCGATTGATGCGCAGGTGGCGCGGACGCACCTTGGCGGGTGCACGCCGCGGCCGCCGTTACCCTTTTTTCCCGCCCGACCCTCCCCCCCAGGAAACGACCGCTACGCGGGAAGAATTGTCACGTGCTCATTTCCTGACCTCTTTGGAGCAGCAACGCGCTAGTGATTTGGCCGATACGCTCCCGTCCTGGCATCTTCTGTGCGCCCCCTCCTGAGCAACAGTCGGTGGGCCACGAGATGTAGAGTCACCTCCGACGGTTACCTGGGAGCCTGGGAGCCCCGGCCCCCAGAGCGGCCCCGTCCACGTACTGGATGCTTTGGTGAACAAGCGCTCGTCAGCGTTCACACGTCTGCGGGATCATCCGCAGCAGCCCCACTCGTCGCTCCCCATCCCCACGAGGCCAGGTCTTGAGCGAATGCGTGGGGATCTTGCAGATAAGAGGCGTATTTCGGACGGGGCAGCCACGCAGATGAATCCGGGCCAGAGCGTTCCAGGACGCTCTCAGAGCGTTCAGGAACGCTCTGAGAAGGCCGCGGCGCCTGAAACATCCTCAAGAGCCGACTGATCCCAAAGTTTCTCGATTTATCCTCACCCGATTCAATCCTCGTCTTGACTTCGTCTTAGTGTTTGGCGAGCAGGAGGACGAGGAGTAGGAAGGAGCTCTCGTGCGATCCGCGAGGTCGGAGTGGTGGCAGAGCAGTGACGTCCAGGGCTTCTCCGACTACCAGAGGAGATCCCCCCCCGCTTGCAGCGAAAAGGATTTCCCGGTTCTACTGTATCCTTCTTTGGGAGGAATATTCCCGGGGAGGCTTGTCCGAATCCCCGTTGGGCTGTCCAAGGGATTGTTCGGGCAAGTCATTTGAGCCTCAAGGGCTATGGGTAGGGGGGGGCAGACCCCCTTGAATTGCCACCGCGCCCACGTAAGACGCAGGTGGACATTCGGCTATGGAATCGCCCCGAAAGAGGCTGTCTTGCGAGCGTGGCCGAAACTCCGCCGTTGTTGCGTGGCCGGCCCCCTTATGCCAGGGCTCGTGGTGCGAAGGCAACCGCGTTTCACCTTTTGGGCCCGCGTCTCCAAAACAACTGCGCCTCGCCCTCGCCCGTAGCGATTGTGGTTCAAGTGGTAATATCGGGAATTCCCCCGTCTCGAGGTGGCGAGGCGGCCGTGCGCGCTTGGAACCACAGGTGCTCGCCCGAGCAGGTTCCTTGCTTCTCTTTTGCACTGCAGAGTGCCAGCTTACCCACGCATTTTGCTGCGATATGCTTTTCTGAGCGTTGTACACTCGTCTCTCATACTGCTGCCAAGGCGTCGGGAGGTGCCGATAGTTTGAAAGCGATTGGATCCAGGAACAGCGAGTTTGTCACGGCGATCAGCCCCTCCAACTCACGTACCGACCAGCTCGAGATTCATATTCAAGGCCGTCAGGCTCAGCATATTTCTTTTGTGCAGGAGATGCAGACTTAGTGTCTACGATGTTTCCTCCGTGGGGAGCGAGGTTTCAGCATATTTCAAATGTCCCCACTGTAGTTGATGAACCGATGAAGATGGCAGATAATGTGCCGCTGCTGCTGGGGTGGAGGCGACAATGGAGGCTCGCTTCAAGGCCCCAGACGAGCAGATTGCATCGATATCGCGCCCGTGTTCCACTGCTGATAGTTCCGAGCAAAGCCACAGTCGCAAGCGAGTTGCTACTCCTGCTGCCTCCTGATCTCGTTACGGACGCTGCCGTTGACAAGGATCAGAGTAGCCCGTGCCGTGTATGGATTGGTGGATGGCCCCGTGAAGTTCTATCACGGTGTCGCCAGGAACACTTGGGAGGGGCACAGTACACACATGCCACAAGAGATTGTTGCTGACACGGAGGCTAAATTCCAGCGTTCTAGTCGCCCATATTCGGTGATCTTCAAGACTCCCGCGGGAGCGACACGTTTCAAACAGTGGGCCTTCACATCTCGTTCAAGTTGGCCCGACTAGCGCGATCGTGCCAAGACATGTGTAATTCGTGTTCGTGGTGGCGTTCCTGTGTCCGCGAGGATGAGGGCAACGTCTCTCTCATGCCTGTGGGAGCCGATGAAGATCAAGTTCATGAACAAACGTCTCTGGAACGTGAACCTGGGTATGGGTTGTTCGCGTTATGGTTCAGGACGGCTTCGTACCTCCAGTGACAAGGGTTCATGGACGCTGTTCACGCTGGAGAGAAGGAAGACGGTAAATGTGTGGTTGTATCATACCGTGAGGACTTGTACCAATGGCAGTTCACGGACACCGAATTGATTTCACAATTGGTATTGCTACGAACAACAAAGCAACAAACCATATCTATAGGATGGCGCTTGGCGAACGCCCTCGGCGACTACGACCACGGAAACATGCACGCTGGGCGAGGGGCCCGGCCGCATGTGATCAGCCTTTGCCACAGTTGTTTGCAGGTTCGCCTGTTTTGCCTCTGCCGTCGTTCCTAATTCGTCCAGCGCCGTGCGATGTGCCCCATCGAGAGGATTTTCCGTTGTGTCCTCCCTCCGTTTTTTTTGCGTGCTCGTGGAGTGCTGGAGGTATGATCGTGTCCGTTCAGTCCCCTCGTCACGACCGGACACCCAGGTGATATCGATCATCTCTCTTTCTCCAACTTCCGCCCCATACGTTTGGCTTCGAATTGTTTCTTGATCGTGCTGGCACTGGGGGGGGGGGGAATTTCACAGCTCTGAGCAAGTCTTTTGCGAGTTTGCCTACTGAGATTGAGCACCGCCCGCTGATATATGGCCGGGTGTTCCTCACCACTACGATGGGCGCGCATGGGCAATGTAATCTTGTGAACGCACACGTGCCGAACACCTCGGAGCATTTTAACGTATACTTGTATGTACTGCGTTTGACTAGTCGGGAGGTTCCGACGTGTGTTGAGCATTTCACGATCCTGCTGGGGGACTGGAATTTCACGTTGGAAGGGGGAGGGCGCCAAAAAGCGCACGGTGGTTTGTGGGCCCCAGGGGGCCGACGTCGTGCCCGATCGTTTCATTCCCACCTCCGTGATTTGATCGAGTTTTACCATGACATGGACACGCGTCGCGCAGTTGTGGATCGCGTGATTGACCATGCTGCTAGGCAGGGCAGAATTTACTGCTCGCTGCCCAGTGCCGTTCTGGCTGACATGGCGATTTCGACGTCGACAACCGAACGATTGACGATTGACATGGCCTCGGGTCACATCCCCGCCGTGTCGACGATATCGGTGTTCAGCCCCGCTGCTTCCGAGAGCAAGAGTATCCCGCTGTGGCTTGCGAAGTCGCCTGAGTGTGCGGATGAGCTGGGCAGCCTTCTGCGAACCCCGCCTATCTCTAATGATAGTGTCGAGCGCCTTGCCTGGACTAAAGCATGCATGCACTCGGCTGCTTCCCGCGCCTGTCGCCGCATTGAGGTTGGAGTCGCTGCCGCGCGCGAGTGGCGCCATCACTGGGCCGTGATTCCAAACGGAGGTATGAGACTTCAGAAAATTAAGTTGGTTGACAATGCCTTGACATGCACCCCGCAAATATCTGAATGCAAGATGACGATACCCTTGTTTGTGCTGGCATCCGTGCTCGTCGATCATGTGTTCGCCAGTTGCGTCTGCAGGTTTTGGATGCCGCTGCGCGGGAACTCGAGAATGACCGGCCAGATGATTCCCAGAGGCGGAAAAAGGAGAAACATATTGCACGGCGGAGATTGTTCCGGCGACAGTTCCGTCGTCGCACGTGGCTCCAAGGAGCCTCGGGCCCAAATCACTACCCATGCCCGCCCCAGCTGCCCCAGCCGAGGACTTTCGGAACCGCTGGGGAGAAGCCATCTGTGAATTGCAAGGACCGCCCCAAGTGGCCCGGACTAGTTTCTCGATGCCCGACAGGTGCCTGTCGGAGGATCGGTTTCTTGGGAAGTGGACTGCGATGCCTTTATGGGGGGGGTGCCATCGTGACAAGAAATCGCAGCATGCCTGGTCCCGGCGGGCTCCCGCGCAACAGCAGGCGTCTGGGGGGCGCCCCGCGCTTTCTTCGATTTTTATTGGGGCCTGGTGGAAGGGAAGTCAGGATTTTCCGCGGGATATGTTGGAGGTGCTGATGGTTTTCCATCCGAAAGCTGAATCTAGGGATGGCACGAGTTCTAAGGTATATAGGGCCCTTGCAAACACGCGCCCACGTTCCATGGCCTATACTGACGCCAAGCTGGTGAGATCGCGCATGCGCCGCCCGCTTAATGACATTGCCCGCTCGACTGTTTAGACATCGCAGGCGCGCATTCCTGGCCGCGGCGCGGCCGCGCATATCGCTCGCGCGGAGGCCGGGGCTCTGTCTGAGCATGTGCAGGGCAGAGGGGGGCAGTCCGCGGGCGCTGGCGGACTACTCTGCTGCTTTCCCCTTTCTCTCGGTTGATTGGCCCTTGGAGGTTTAGGCAAACATGGGAGCGCCGCCTTTCCTCGCCCAGTTTTTCTGATGTTTCACAGCGATAACGCTGCGCTGATTTCGGTCATGGGAAACATTTGCGAGACGATTTCGTCTGGCCGTGGAGTTCGACGGGCGGGCCGTGCATCCGCGGTGCTCTTGTCTTCGGGCTGCTCCTCTTGAAGAGTATGTTAGCAAGTATTGTTGAGAAGGTCTGCAGTCGAAGCTTGAATATGCGGATGACTGTTTATATGGACTTCGTCACACTCTGCGCCGCCTTTCCAGGCAGTTTGAAGCGGGTCGCGTTCTCGATGCCGCCGCCGGTCTATCTTTGACAGTTGCATAGAGCGTTGCGCCTGCTAACTCGACAGTCTTTCAGACGGCACTGCAGCGATATATTTGCGAGCGTCTCCCTGAGCTCGCACAGGTGCAGGTTGTCGCGGCGCGCGCACATCATGGAAGGTTGGGGTTTTCTGCTGCAGATAGGCACTGGACTAAACCGGCGGCGCAGTTTTCTCTTCGCGCTCGGGAAGGTGTGCACTCAGGTCTTGCCTTCGTGAAGAATGCCCCCACGTCCCAGACGCTCTGCTTACGCATCGAGCCCTTTTGTCGCGCAGTTTGCGCCTCTTCCTCACGCCGTGCATGCCGCGTGCAGGAATGCCCTTCAGTTGGCGGTGATCTGTCCGAGGTTTATCTTTCAGCGCGATATGCTTACTAGTATTATGTCGGCAGGGCATCCTAGAGGGCCTCATCAGGGACCCTTTGTTTTTTTCCCCGCCAGGCTCCCGCAGGAGCATCCGCAGGCCCTCGGAAATTTCCCTGCAAGCCTCCCGCGGGGCACCCGCAGAGCACATGCAGGGCCTCACCGAAAAAACAAAAAGCATCCGCAAAGCCATCCGCAAAGCATCTGCAAAGCATATGCAAAAACACGAGAAAAAAAAAAAAAAAAAAAAAAAAAAAAAAAAAAAAAAAAAAAAAAAAAAAAAAAAAAAAAAAAAAAAAAAAAAAAAAAAAAAAAAAAAAACGAGCAATCATATTTCTTGCACGCAACACGATCGTCTCAGCGTGGGAAGAAGTTCAGACTGGCGCGCCCCCGAGGCACCGACGATTGATATGCATGTTATAGGAAAGGCTAGACGAGTATATATGTGAAGGCGCTGGGAAGCCTCATAAGGGGGCTGGCGGATATATCTTCAGAGTGCAGACGGGGCTCCTAAGAGGGGACTCATAGGGGGCCTCATGGGGGGGTCGGCGGATGCACGGGGGCTGGGGGAATTCTTGGGGGGGCCTTACTGAGTGAATGCGCTGGGTGGCCTC